TTCCAGAGTCCTCTGGCTCTCTGTTCCTGGACATGACTTACAAGGGGTGGGATCTGCCTTAAGGGCAATATACTGACTCTGGAGTCTTGAGAGTGAGAGAAGTCTGGGCTGGTGGATCTGTCCATGATCCATAGTCCTATGGTCCCAGGTGAGGCATACTTGGTAATCAGGAGAGGAAGCCAAAGGTCAAAGAAGAAAGGTCTGGCAGAAATGACACTGAAAAGAGGACCTGGAACTGATAGGAATATGGGTAAGAATTAGGTGTGAGCAGAAGAAATGAGATAATTTCAAACTGAGGCTAAGAAATGTGAGTTTCCAGGAACAACCTGCTTTATAGAAGACAGACTAGTGGACCTAATTGTCTCTCCCATCAATATTGGAAAATGTTTCATGGTTGTCACTCATACAGTCTTCAGCATCTTCAACCCTCTCCTGACCTTATCCTCTCTATAGACTTCGGTTTTCTACCCATTAACACCTTCTCCTCTATCAAAAAAAAAAAAAAAAAAAAAAAGAAAAAGAGAATTCGAAATCAAACATTAGCATTTGTTGGGTGATTACACTTCACTATGAATGTTAGTCACTATATCATTTAATAATTATCAAGGACTTAACCAGTCATTGTTATGTTAAGTGTTGTAAAAATCTCTCGTTGTACTCCTGACCTCAAGCAATCCTCCGGCCTTAGCCTCCCAGAGTGCTAGAATTACAGGCATGAGCCACTGTGCCTGACCAAAATCTCTCACTGTAGAATGAAAGATTTTATCTCCTGTTAATACTCTCAGTACACAGATAGGGAGAAATATTTTGTGTATAGATCCTTGTGGGGGGTTGGGAGAAATTGATTTCTGGTCTTGAAGGGATTGTTTCTTTTCATATTCCTAAAAAACTGTGATTCTCTTTTGAAATTACTGGATTCCCCTGAATAGCACTATAGTGCTCACAAATCTGCTATCTACTGAGCAGTTCAGCCCTATGAGCTGATTCTGGGTTTCACTTGCCATCCACTCCACTTACAGGTTCAATCAAGTCTGAAGACCAGTGATTCCTTACAACAGGTGTCCTCGAACTTTTTAAGCAGGGGGCCAGTTCACTGTGCCTCAGACCATTGGAGGGCCAGACTATAGTTTAAAAAAAACTATGAACAAATTCCTATGCACACTGCACATATCTTATTTTGAAGTAAAAAAACAAATGGGCAAAAACACCCGCATATGGCCTGGGGGCCAAAGTTTGAGGACGCCTGTGGCTTACATGCATCAGTTAGGCCCTAGTCCAACACCCCGCTCCCCATGCTTCCACTTCACCTAGTTAAATCAAGTCCCTGCAGAGCTTCCAATAGTCTGATCTCTTTGAGCCTTTTAATTCCAAAAAGTTCCTGCTAGAAGGCAGCCATTCAGCAAATTGTTTTTAAAAGTCTCTCATATCCAGTTATCTGACTGCATTAAAATGAAAAGAATGTCCATAATCCTCAGCTTCTTCCATAAAAATTTCCAACAAGCTGGCAATTGTTAAGGGGCTAAGCAGTAGAATCTTTAAACTAATCCTCTTCTTCTTCTTCTTTTTCTGGGACAGGATCATGCTGTGTTGCCCAGGCTAGAGTGCAGGTGGTTCAGTGGTGTCATCAGAGATCACTGCAGCCTCAAACTCTTGGGCTCAAGTGATCCTCCTGCCTCAATCTCTTGAGTAGCTAGGACTACAGGCATGTGCCACCATGCCCTGATAAGTTTTCTATCTTTTGTAGTGACAGGGTCTATTATTATTCTTTATATATTTATTCAACATTTACAAGGGCAAAGAAAATAAGATTTTCTATTATTAAAAATATTTATAGATTCAGAATTAGTTACCTTTCTCAAAACAAATCTCTCTTTGTTCAAAGCAAAGTTCACATTTGGGGGCTGGGGCACACATAACACATGCACGTAAATTTGTAGTTATTATTCTACAGTTTGTTCATGTGATTTTTGTGAAGTAGACAACTGGTGGCAGAGTAGAGGACATAAAATAAATAAATTAATAGACTTCAGAAAGTTGCACATACCATGCACTATTTAGTTTCGGAATTTCAACAAAGATTGCACATGCACATTGCCAAACACTCAACAGAGGAAAGTCAGCATCTATGTGGAGAGTGTATCTTTTCCCTCAAGGCCCATCTGCTCTTGTGGGAATGGAACCAATTTACTTTTCCTAGTTATGGAAGGAGTAGGGTGTGGAAACCTAAGATAATTGGCACCGGTGATATTTCAGTGTCCCTTATAAATCGTTTCCCCTGGATAGTTGCCTGGCAATCTTGACCTACAACCTGGCTGTGACTACATTCCTGCATACATTATGAGGAAGCCAAATCATGTGTAAGGGGAGTGTATGGCATGTGCTTTGACACGAAGTTTTTATAGTGCCAAGGCTATATATAACATTTCCTATTGGGGGATGGTGTGGAGTAGATAAGATATGCCTATTTAGCTATTCTGAGCCAGTGGTGTAAAGGTTACACAAGTCTTTTCCTCTTCTGCATCTGTAAGATCAAAGTGCGACTCAGGAGACAGAGGCTAACAAATCTGAGTTATGAAGTCAAGTGTGAAGAAGTTGAGATCACTGCCAAGAGAGTGGTTGATCACCATAAATAGTATGCTAGGAGTGGAATGCTATATGAAGAAAAGAGTCTATGGAGGGGCTGGTGGCCTGGATGAGGTTGTAGAGCACTTGTAGTGGCAGATAGGAGTGAAAAAGTTGAACAAAGAGAGGTTGATGGCATAGGGAACTTTCTGATATTGTTACAAAGGTGGAGTGATGACAGCTATGGAGTAGATCTATGGTAGAGACCTGTCCCAGTGGAACGGATATGAAGGTCCTGGGAGCTGTGGAGTGAAGCAAATTTGAGGCTATGGTATTGGTTGGTTCATCCGTGTGAATATTGAAATTACCTAAGATAAGATAATGGTATGCTTGGTATGGAGAGAGTAAAATGTGAACCAGATTCATTCTTAAATGTAATGTTGAGGAGTGAAAAGGAAGAATGTAGGTAACAACAATGAGGGAGGAAGACAGTAAGGTTTAGAAGATTGTAGGCATCTTCTGGGGAAAAAAAGGTGTTCATAAGAGGGCGAAAGAGCAATGATCAGAAAGTGCCAATCAGCCCTACCCCGTCTCTTAGATGAGGGATAGGAGCATGAGTAGTCTCCCAGTAGCCTTCCCCAGTAGAGCAACTGGGGAAGCCTAATTCTTGGGCAGAATTAGGTTTGAGTGAGACCAGGAAGTAAATGTAAAATTCTATAAAGAAGTTAAGGAATGTTTTTACAATAGGATAAGGGTTGGGAAAATATAGAGAATTTGGAAGAGGTCAGCAGTAAAAGAGAAGGAATGTCCCAGGGTAACACAGAACAACATGGAAATGAGCATCCTAAGAGGGCAAAGGATAGAGGGCATTTGCTCTGGGATGGTAGTCAAGGATACGGGGAATAAGAGGTGTGGGTGAATACACGGAGTGGAAGCTTCAACTAGAAATCCCAGGTAATGTGGAATATCTGATGATAGCAATTACAGCCATGCTCTTTTGTGATGAAGCTAGCAGAGATGAGCTAATCTGGCTGTGATTGGTTCCCATGTACTAGTTAGAGGGGTAGTTTATTTGCCCCAAATTTCTTTTGAACTGCCTTAGCTCATGGGCCACATTTGCAAGAACATTACCTAATTAGGGCTCCAAAGTCTATTTGGTTTAAACTTTTAATCTGTTTCAAGTTATTATTACCAATTTGCACCATTATCACCAATGCTCGATAACTGATATTGAAGCATTCATTAGAATTATATAATAATTTGTATAATTCAAATCCAGCACAATTTCTCATCATTCTTCAATAGATCTTTTTTGCCTATTGTTATTGACATTGTTAAATACAGGTTGTATAGTTTAGTTTTTCTTTTAAGAAAAGTAACTGAATTACATGAAATCAGAAGGTTATGTTTCCAGCATAGAATGACTGTTTTGACACTAATGATAGGGCTCAGAGCTCAAATGCTATCTTAAAATTTTTACTTTAACAAAAATCATAAATAAAAGCTTCATTTTAAAAAATCACTGATGCACAACTAAAAATGAGTAACTGAGCCATTTTAGCTGACACCTACATCATTTTGATGCTTAATGGTCTCATAAATTGCCCAAGTAAATACTACCATTGGTGCTACCCATTTCACGCTGCTGGCCTCTGACAGCACAGTGGAAATTTGGGAACTTGTAAGAACAGGTGACATGTCAGATACCAAATATTCCTACTAATAGTATGTGTGAAGGAGATTGAAACTTTGAGTAATGCTTTTGTTTAAAATGTCTGGGTCTTAAAAACAAAATGAAACTATTTCGTCTTTTTTTTATCCTTGGAATTTTTCTGGCTTTCCTTCTTAAGAGTGATTCTGCTCACGAAGAAAAGGTTGAAAATTTAAATATCCACTGTGAATTTAAATATTAAATCATGTAGTTGTGGGAGAGTGACAATTGCCCCTTACACCAAAGACCCCATAGCTCATTGAGAATGGCCGGGAGTTCCTATGAAGTACAGGTTCTGGCTTGTCTTTCTTCAACTAGATGTCTGGATGGTGCTTCTATCCTGAAATATTGCATGCTCAGTACAGCTCATTGCAAGCAAATGGAATAGCTATTGGCTCCCTTCCAGAATCCCAAACAGAGATAACAGAGAGTGGATTGGTGAGCTGAACCTTTGCCTTAGCTGAACTTTCAATTTGGGCATCAGAAAGAATAGTAAGATTTTTGTGGTTTAGAAGATTAATTTATCTATATGTACCAAAGGCCCAGTGCACAGGAATATGGCCTGCTACTATGTATCTGAACTACAACAAAGGCCAGGTTTCCAACATGAGCTACTTTTGTCAATGATGATTGGTGTTAGGTGAAAGAGTGACCTTTTCTACCACTCCCACCTCTCTCCAGGATAAGGCAAAGTTGTCCTCATATATTTTGCTTTCTTTTACTGCAGGACATTTGTGAAGATATTTCTGATCATGTTGAACAAATCCATGCCCTTCTCGAAACGGAATTCTCCTTAAAGCTGCTGTCTTACTCTGTCAATGTGATAGTGGACATTCACGCAGTGCAGCTCCTTTGGCACCAGCTCCGAGTCTCAGTGCTGGTTCTGCGGGAGCGCATTCTGCAAGGTCTGCAGGACGCCAATGGCAACTACACCAGACAGACGGACATTCTGCAGGCTTTTTCCGAAGAGACAAAGGAGGTGAGTTTTTTCTTTGAAGTCAAGTAATGCCTTGTCAAGTGTGACCATTTGAGAATGTTTTCAGTTTAGAGATGTGGGATAGGAATTCTTTGTAGGTAAATAAACAGGCCCTGAATCAGGCTTTACATCTAAGTATAATGACCAGAATCTAGGGTACTTCTAATGTGAATGGGGCTTTAAACCAGAGTTAACTCATACATGGTAATTTGTACAGATAACATCCATAGTTATTGGTGCTAACCTGACTTCCTTTCTTCCTCCAATTATTTAATAAATACTTGCTGAGCACTTAGGCACTAGGTGATAAGAATATGATAATGATCAAAACATGGTCTTTGCCTTCATGAGCTTTGAGTCTAGTGGGGAATGGAGTCTAGTGAACAAACTACTAAGGCCAGACTGCTACCAGCAAAGGCCCTTGGGCTCTCTATGTAATAGAAATTAACAAGAGGCTGAATGGGAGTCACAGGTAAGGCTTTATTGGGGCTTACATTCAAGCACAAGGGAGACAGCATAAAGGAAAGAGTCCTTAGGCTGGCTTCCCAAGGGGACTTCAGGAAGAGTTTTAGAGGCTTAGGCAGGAAAAGGGTGACATATAAGCATGAAGAAGTGGAGATTTATTCATTTATGGTGTGTCTCATTAGCATGTTAAATCTCCATCCCTGGGCATGATTTTTAGCATTAAAATGAGATTATAATGAGTAAAAAGTCTGGGTAAGGTCAGTATTGGGGTCTATTCTGGCTTGCGACAGTTAGATCTAGATAGGTCTGGTTTCTTTGTAGCTAGGTACCTTATCAGCTTGTGTCAGTGTTTTTAGTTTTAGTGGCCTTAATAAACATTACTCACAAGATAGATGATTCAGCTCTTTTCTTCTATGGGTATGGGCTGAATTTTGGCAGTTAGGAAACTATTTGTTTCAGCCCTCTATGAATAGCTGAATTGAGTTATATTGAATTCTGTGGTCAGGGGTGAGATGCTCAAGTCCAGTTCCTATTCTGTCTCAAAACTGTAATAAGTCTATAAGATGCCATTGGAGAACAGAGAAAGGGTCACCTAATTCAGACAGTGGAGGCTTTCCAGAAGTGAGTTTAACTTGAAACCTGAAGGGGAGACAGGATTAGATTGGTGAAGGGAAGTAGAAAATGTTCTAGACAGAAGAAATGGGATGATCAGAAACCCAGAGGTAAGAAAGAGAATGGCAGGCTCTGAGAGCTACTATTAGCACTGGAGTGAAAAGTTCAAAGGACCATGAGGCAGGATTTGGGATAATAGCTAAGTGGAGGTCAGATCATAAAGATAAAAAGCTTTTAAAACTGTATTAAGAGAATTGGACTTTATTTTGAGGATAAAAGAAGTGTTTGTTCAGGGAACTGCCATGATTAGAGTTATGTTTTAGAAAAATCATTCTGGGTGCAGTGAATCAAATGGACATTAGAATGTTATATAACCAATATATTTGATTTTTCTTATTTATATTGAGTACTTTAATGAGTTTGTTGTTATTATTATTGATGGATAACTTAAGAATAGTCACTGTAAATTTTAATCCAAGTGAACTCTCCCATTTTCAAATAAAATTGACATTTATTTATAGAAAAAGGTATTGTGCTTGCTAAGCAGAGGCTATGCTATACAAAAGGTTACCATATATGTATACATTATATATGTGTGTGTGTGTGTGTGTGTGTAGTATACCTAGTTTAGTGCTCTACTATTAGTTTTGTGAAAAATATATATTCTATAAGTTTATAAGGAACTTATAAGGCCTTTTAATCTTATATATTTATATAATGAGTGTTTCATAATTCACTAACTTATTAATTTATTAATATTTCAGTGGCTATAACATTGTCAACAACACAAAACAAATCTATATTTATTCCCATAAAAGATTTATTCTTGTTGATATTTGTTTATTCAAAATAAAGATGCTCTTGCTGTAGCAAACTCCCTGAAGAACCTAGAAGGGAATCAAAAGCTACTACACTCACCTCTAACTTTAAGTTGCAGTCTTTGTTTTCAGTTAGCTCTCCCTGTTATTGTAGTAGTGGGGAGGTGATGTAGAATTCAGGAGAGTAACCACAGGATGAATATGTGGGTTGTGTGTTATTTCCCAGATGCCACACTTTCAAATTAGATCTGTAGGAGGTTCTGTGACTCCTGTGGTTATGGGAGACTACGAAGATCTGTAGGAGGTTCTGTGACTCCTGTGGTTATGGGAGACTACGAAGAATCTCAAACCCCTCCCTAAATTTGCTATCCACCAGGGTATGTGCTAATGGAGATCAGAGATGAGCGAGGTTTGTTCAACCTCTAAAGCCATCTTTCTTTAGATATCTAACTGGTACTCCCAAGTCTATACATTCTTTTATTCCTCCCTCCCTGTGTGTTCTGCTAGCTCTGCTCAATAGCCAGTACTGATCAGTGATTGTATCTGCCTACTTTCTACTGCCAGAGGGGGCATTAAAAATCCTTAATGCAAACCAATTTATTTTACATATTTATTTATTTGTTCAATAAATACTCATTGCTCATGAACTCTTTGTTGTAGGAGCTGGGGATAAAGCAGTGCTTTAGGGTTTATTGTTACCATTGTTGTTATTGAGGTTTTGTGGAATACATTCATCAGGCACTTACTTGATCTTGTATCATTCATGAAGTTGTAGTTCAAGAAATGAAAAGCATAGAAGCTAACATTATTACTGGCCACTGTTTTTACAGCTATGTTGTGAATTAACATTAAGTAGCATGCATTATGGTTCTCACAGTGTGAACTCAACAATTATTTATGGATTTGATTGGAAGCAATTTAGTGCATTTTTATGTTTTTGGTCACTCTTTAGTCCTGTTGTAGAAAGGCAAGAATATGTTGTGTGAGTGGTAAAGGAACAGTGGATTTTCAGTCATCTACTTTGTGAGTATTTTTCTATGAACTGAAGTTCTGCCTCCATTACCATATTTCCTGAAACTAGATTTCTAATATAATTTTTTTGTATTTATAGTAGTGTGACTCCGTGAAAACATTTAAAAACTGCTTAGTTTTATTTGTTTCTGCCAGAATACTGGAATTGTCAAAAACAGGAATGCTATTAAGATAAAATTCTTAGCTTTATCAGAATAAATTCAGCTGTGAAAGATCTGTGGAATGAAGAGGGAAATGGTGAAAAACATTTTAAAAAAACCCCAAAACCCCCCAAACAAACAGAAAATTGATAAACTAGAATAGTAGATATCCTTCTATTAATAGTAAAGGGGATTCATTTTTATCTTATGAAAAATTAGTTGAATTTTAGAGCCACATTTAAGAGAAAGCTTGAAACTCAAGAAAATGGAAAGTTCCATCTCTTTCTCTCCCTGAAAAAACAATATGAATTTTATTCTTTATTTAAACATGGAGCAGACCATATCTAGTAAACAAATGTGCAAATGCCTTACTAAAATAAAACCAGTCAGCAGTCAAACAAATAAGAAACATTTTAAAGCAAAGTTCAAAATTGTGTAAAAAATGAGTTATACCGAAATTTTCTATATTCCAGACCCTGTGATATGTACTTCATATTGATTTCATTTAGTAAGGGAGGGTAACAGTATTAAAAACATTTGCATTTATAGATGAGAAAACCGAACTTAACAGTGGTTAAATGAATGCTTAAGGATATGAATCTAGAAATAATTAAAACAAAACCAGTTTTTGATTTCTATTTTAATAATAATAATTATTCTCTCTTCCCTCCCTTTTCTCCTTCTTTTCTTTCTACCTTCCCTAAATATTTATTGATTTCCTACTATGTGTAAGGTAGCATGCATTAAAAAATGCATAACACACATTAGGAATCACCTACATAATTTTGTTTGATCTTCACATACTTCTGAGAGGTAGACAGAGCAGGTGCTATTATCCTCAATTTGTAGGTGTTATTATTGTATTCATCTTATGGAGGAGAGAACTGAGGTGGAGAGAGGTAATGTCATATAGGTAGTGATAATTCTTTAATAATATTAACACAATAGCAAACATTGAGAATTTACCATGTACTGGATTGTGTAGTGAGCACTTTACCTAAATGATATTTACCTTCTCGGTGGGAATGCATTGGTGCTTCCAGAATGCTCACCACATAGTACTTGGTGGGTTCTTCCACTAGCAATTAACACAGACTGATTTGCATCATGAAAAAATATGTGCTATATTTTGAACTATATGAGGGTTGGCTCTGGATTATATTCATCTCTATATCTCCCACAGATAGCATGTAGTTCATATTGCTATGTATAAAAGTCTGATGAGTTCAATTGAATTAAGTGATGTAGATAATCACTGCTTTAGATATAGAAGGGGGAGATAGTTTTATAGGTTGGTGGACTGGGAATTAATCATGGAGATTAACTATTTAATTTATAATTTCACCCTGTAGAAAATGGAAAGTCTTACAATTATGAATATAGCATACATTAAAATATTGAAAGATTTTTGTGTATTTTTCCTCTAGCCCATCAGAAAACAACCTTTGCTTTGCTTCACATTTCCCTGTCATTACTGCTCTTCTCAGTCCATTGCTGCTATCTGGAATGCATTCACAATCATAGAATCCCAACATGGTAGAGCTTAAAGGAATCTGAAAAACGGTCCAGTCCATATGGTCTGAAAACTCGGGGTTGGGGGGGGGCTGTGGCATTCTGGTAAGAGGCCCATCAATTTATATGTTAGGAATTAAAGCATAACAAATACCATGTAGTGAAATTAGGGGAGCAGGGGAGGGAGGGACATATAAAATTTTTTACTGTTCCCATAATTAAAAGAGTGAAATTCTATTTCTGATGTTCTTCTCAAAACTGACACCATTAAGTAGCAATGGCCACTGATATGCCCTTGGGACATTTTAATAGGGAGATCTTAAAATCTTGAAATTATGAGTATTAAATCTCATGGTCAGTTAGTGTTGAAATACAGTGTTAAAAAAAGAAAGATCTGAGAAGGTATTTGGAACTAGACTTCAGTTAATTTAATTATAGGTAAAGAACAAAGCAAAATTTTTTGCTTCAAATTGGAAAAAAAGGGGAGTGGGTTCCCTTGTTGCCTTAGACAAGATTGAAGCTAGCAATAAAGTGAATAAATTACCACCTCCATAAAATGTCACCTTTATCTGAAAAGCTGCTTTATAACAATTAAATGGAGGTATATTTGAGTAGAGACATTGCTAGGCAGCTCTGACATAGCTCCCTCTGCTATACAATTAAATGTGATATTTCTGAAATAAAAAGGGCAGTAAAGCCAACATGCACTTATCCCCAAGCTCCATATCTTCCTGAGAATTTATTGCTTATACTCATTAGAAAATTGTCTGGGAAGGAGGTCTGGAAGGAAGCAGTGGGACTAAAAATATTAGTATTACTATGCAATGTTTTAAGAGATGAGACTCATTATTCATCTGCTCTGAGAAATTTCAGAGAACTTTCTTTTCTTAACATTGCCTCTAGATGGTGAAAGACTAAATGTGTGTTTGTTTGTTTATTGCTTTTTGGTTTTTTTCAGGGAGGGTTTTTTTTTTTTTTCATATTCAAAAATGTAGTATGAGCTTAGTGCAGTGGCTCACGCTGGTAATCCTAGCACTTTGGGAGGTTGAGGTGGGAGGATTGCTTGAGGCCAGGAGTTTGCGACCAGCCTGAACAACGTGGCAAGACCCCATCTCTACAAAAAATAGAAAAATTAGTCAGGCATGGTGGCAAAGGCTTGTAGTTCAGCTACTTGGGGGGCTGAGGCAGGAGGATCGCTTGAGCCTAGTAGATTAAAGTTGCAGTGAGCTATGATGACACCACTGCACTCTAGCCTGAGTGACAGTGAGACCCTGTCTCTAAATAAATAAATAAAAATGCAAAAATGAAGTATGATTAAAAAATAGTTATTCCTGAGTGACAATCACCCAAATCTTAGTGGTTGAGATAGTCTGGTTGGGGAACAGGATGGGAGAAGGCTTCCTTTGTAGAAGTAAGTGTTTTGAGTATGGTATTTTCTTTTCCAAATTAGGAACTGGCTAGAGATTTCTGAAGATGTAAGAAAAGGCAACCACAGTCTATTCTCTGAGATGTATTCTTATATTCATTTAGCAATATATTCATCTAACATCATTGTGTACCTTTTATTTTTGAACAAGACAGTATCCCTGGTCTTAAGGTGCCATGAACATCAAAATGGGACCAAATGTATTTGCGAGGCCACAGTGTTCCCTGCTTGGCCAAAGGCAGGTGGCCGATACTTTTGAGGGTCTAATTTTTATCTGAACTCTGAAATGTCTTTTTTCTCTATTTGTTATAGAAACTTTTCTTTAGTGTCTCTTTAACCTCATGTAAGTACTACAGTACAGTAACTTTGATAAATATAGAAAATCATGTTGTAAATTTCAACTTGTTATTAATTTGAATAGGTCTTATGGGATATCTTTGGCATTTAATCATCATTTTATAATACTACTTGTGTAAAAGAGTAAATTCAGGGTAATGAACAACCAAATTAAAATATTTTTTAAAAATACAATCTGCTTTTAAATTGGGAATTTCACTATTGTTCTTAAAAACTGCATAAAGTATGACTTTTGTTTGACTCATTTCTTGGTGTTTTTGGCTTCTGATTATTATTTAACGAGCCTGGCCTGGGTATGAAGCACAAGAGTCACACAATTTCATTTAGATAACTTTTGTTGAGATTGGCAGCTAATATTGTTTTCTCACTTTGTGCAGTATAATTTAGCATTAGCAAGAACTCTCAACTTGGTGAAACTCAATATATTTTATTACTACTACTACTACTAATATATTAAGAGTGGACATTCATTGAGTACTTGTACATACAACAGACTTGTGTCTTACATATATTATCTCCTTTAAGCCTCTCAACACTCCTATGGCATCCTTTACTATTTCCTTTTTACAGTTGAAGAATATGAAGCTTAGTGACATAAAGCTACTGGCTTGGTACTAGAGCCAGAATTTGACTCTGAAGCTGGGGCTTTTAAGTATTAGAATTAACTAAAACTACATAATCAGAGGAAGAAATTACATAAAGGCATAGAGAGACATTCAAAAATTTCATCATTCATCCCCTCATTGGTTTATTCAACATATATGCCTTTGAGTGCTTATTCTATGCAGATCACTATGCTAAGGGCTATAGGTACCTTCAACTAGATCTTGGGATAACTTGGTCGTAAGGAACATAGAGTCCAGCAGTCACATGAGATTGATCTGGATTGAGTTGGCTCATCCCAGTTCCTCCTCCAGGAGAAAGGAGATCTGGGGATATAATGACACTTCACTTTTCAATTTCCTTCCTTCATTTCCTAAAGGGCTAGATTAGACCAGGCTGTTCTTTAGCTTGGTAGGCGTAACAGGATTCTAGGGGCTCTTCTACCCAAAACAAAGCATCAATCAAAAATCTCCACACTTGTTATATGATATCAGAAATTGCATTAATAATGAGACAAAAGCCTTAATCACATAATTAAAGATTAAAAATTAAAAATCCTTGTTTGCAATACTAATTTTTACATGGGATAATTTCAAATCAAATCAGCCTACCTGGAATTATAAATAGTAAGGGAGGTGGGCACTTAGTATCTAATATATTCCAATGGGGATTGGAGGGAGAAATGCATGCAGAAGAAGGAGATAGGGCCAATATGATGAAATTTTGACACTCATTAATTTTCTCCAGGATTACCTGTGTTTACCTTCAAAAGGGTGGGGCCAAACAGAAACTGATCTTGAACTGTTATGTATTTGAAAATTCAGTAGTTTACCTTCCTGTGATATGTTAATATATATTTAATATGACCAGCTCAGTATAAGTAATCATTTCACTTTAAAAATACTTATTGAGCATCCATTATGAGCTAGCCACTGTATAGGTGCTGGAGTGATAGCCAAAATCAAAACAGAGGTTTATAGAGATTTTACTTTTACATTACTTTGTTCCCAGGAATTTTATTACTTAAGGCTTCACTTATGACATGCTTATTAAATGAACAGTATACTATTTTTTTTTTTTTTTTAATTTTAAAGAGATTTATTCTGAGCCAAATTTGAGGACCATGACCCGGAGCCACTGCCAAGAGGCCTTGGGCAAGTGGACTCCATAGTATACTATTTTTGAAGAGAGAGGTAAGGCAAGGATGGATATTTTTGCCTTAATAGCCATTTCTATTAAGGCTCTATGCTCTAGATTAAAGAAAAATTTTTAAGTGTTTGAACAAAATACTATATCAAGCAATGTGAAAATATGCCTTTCTGTTTGTCAAACAAGAAGCAATTGAGACTGATACATATCTGATTTTTATAGCTGCCTGTACTGAAATTTCATCTCAACAGCATTTGAATATAATTGATGTTGCATTTACTGACACTATTGCCATTGTCTGTTTCAGGGCCGGCTTGATTCTCTAACAGAAGTGGATGACTCAGGACAGTTAACTATCAAATGTTCTCAAAATTACTTGTCTTTGGATTGTGGCATTACTGCATTCGAACTGTCTGACTATAGTCCAAGTGAGGATTTGCTCAGTGGCCTGGGTGACATCACCTCTAGCCAGGTCAAAACCAAACCCTTTGACTCTTGGAGCTACAGTGAGATGGAAAAGGAGTTTCCTGAGCTTATCAGAAGTGTTGGGTTACTTACAGTGGCTGCTGACCCCATCCCTTCCAACTGCAGTGAAGCAATTAGTGAAGAGGCATCCCAAGTATCTCTTTCAGCAGATGACAAAGGGGGGTGTGAGGAAAACAGTACTTCTGCAGTTGAAGAGCAAGCAGGCATAACACCGGAGATGTCATCTTCAGGGGAAGCTCTGACAAATGCTGTTCAACCCTCCTCTGAGACTGTGAAGCAAGAACCCAATTCCTCTTCCCATCTTGGTGCAAAGAACCAACAGCCTCTTCCTTGTGAAAATGCAACCCCCAAGCGATCCATCAGAGATTGCTTTAATTATAATGAGGACTCTCCCACACAGCCCACATTGCCAAAGAGAGGGCTTTTTCTTAAAGAGGAAACTTTTAAGAATGATGTGAAAAGCAGCGATGGAAGGAAGCAGTTGGTTGATCTGAAGCCTGAGATGAGCAGAAGCACTCCTTCACTGGTGGATCCTCCTGACAGATCCAGGCTTTGCCTGGTGTTACAGTCTTCCTACCCCAACAGCCCTTCTGCTGCCAGCCAGTCTTATGAGTGTTTGCATAAGGTGGGGGATGGGAACCTTGAAAATACAGTGAGAATTCACATTAAAGACATCTCTTCGAGCCTGGGAAGGCTTAACGACTGCCATAAAGAGAAACCTCAACTTAAAAAGCCACAGAAAATCTCAGAAGAGGTGCCTCCATGCCGAACACCTAAACGGGGAACAGGTTCAGGCAAGCAAGCTGAAAACACAAGGAGCTCAGTAGTGCCAAATGGAATGCCTTCTTGTACTTCTAAGGCCATAGAGGAGCCAGAAACAAATTCTGCTTCTACATCCTCATTTGAGCCATGTAATCAGAGAAGTGGGAAAGCCAAATTGCTAGTGCAGTCAGAAACATCCAGTTCACCACCTTTTACTCAGAGCAGTGAATCCTCTACTGGCTCAGACAACATCACGTCTCCAGTGCCACTTCTTTCAAAACACAAAAGCAAAAAATGTTACTCTTCCTCCCCTAGTCATGTCACCAGGAATGGTCAGGTTGTGGAGGCCTGGTATGGCTCTGATGAATACCTAGCTCTGCCCTCTCACCTTAAGCAGACAGAAGTATTAGCATTGAAGTTAGAAAACCTAACAAAGCTTCTGCCTCAGAAACCCAGAGGAGAAACCATTCAGAATATTGATGACTGGGAGCTGTCTGAAATGAATTCGGATTCTGAGATCTATCCAACATACCACGTCAAGAAGAAACATACAAGATTAGGCAGGGTGTCTCCAAGCTCATCCAGTGACGTAGCCTCTTCGCTGGGGGAGAGCATTGAATCTGGGCCCCTGAGTGACATTCTTTCTGATGAGGAATCATGTATACCTCTCTCTGGTATGAAAAAATACATCAATGAGAAATCAGAAAGAGCTTCATCCTCTGAGAAAAATGATAGCCATTCTGCTACTAAATCAGCTTTAATTCAGAAATTGATGCAAGATATTCAGCACCAAGACAACTATGAAGCCATATGGGAAAAAATAGAGGTAAGATCTTCTTAACCTGAATGATTTATCACCTGATTTTTGGAAGTAATACTGTCAGAAGGTCAACCCCTCCCCACCCTATTATAAAATGTGTTGCTATTTTTTATAAACCTAACTCCCCAAAGAAAGAAAAGAAAAAGCACAATGATCACTGCATATGACAGAATATGCATCACTAGGAACTGCCCTTGACAATGCATTAGATTGATGTGTTCCTGGTTGGTGTAGAATTCTCTGTTGATATAGCTTGAACCTAACATGGCTACTGATGAATGCTGGAACCCCTTGGATATAATACAGATAAAATGGAACAATAGCTATATACTCACAAGTACCTCAGGAATACATGAAAGGAATATTCCTGTTAGCCTCAGTGCTTTTTGATTTGTTTGTTCTGATCTCAGAATACTGTCCACATCTCCAGTGTTACCTTCTTATAGAAATACATTAGAAATTTCTAATTTATCAGGAATCTTTATTTTTCTTTACTTTTCCTCCTCTTTAAGAACTCTGGCTAATAACTAGACTACCTATACCATGTACCATTCATGGGCTTTGAGATGAGGAATTGACATTTTGGGTAAATCTATACTTTTTGAACTTATTAGATGTGATTAAATCTTTGAGGATAAAAACTTATCAAAATTCTCAGGACTGCACTCTATAAGTTGTGATTTAATTCTTTAAGATGCATCAGGGCTGAAAAGATTCACTATGATTTTTATGGTAATGGCCCTTTCTTCATAAGACTATTGGAAATAGATCCAGTTAATGGATAGTTATAATGTTTCTTGTTCTATGACATATAAATGACCATGCCTTGCATAATTTGCATAGCACTTTACCATGTGCAGAGAGCTCTTCCGTATGTATTTTTGTATTTTACTTGATCTTCATAGCCATTCAGTGAAGAAGGCAGGTCACACCAGATTACTCTCCTTTTACAGAAATAGAAACAGAGGTTCAGTGAGGTTAAGTAGTTTTTCCCAAGCTAAAATAAATACATAGACAGATAAATAAAAAGACAGACCTTTTTTGCTTAGAAAGCTGAGATGCAAACCCATGTCTTCTGATTTATTAGTCTAGTTTTCTTCTATAGCATCATGTTGCCTCCCTGAAAGGGCTTATAGTATCTTCCTCCCTGGGAAACTATGAGTATGGGAGAATAAAAGGTTCAGGAGCCATCTATATTGGATAGAGAATAACCCCTGTGGCTACCTTGGAGCTACTCCTCCCAGTTTATTTTTACATCCATTCATTGTTGAACACTACTCTGGTAGCAGCATTATGCTTGGCATTGGATGCAATTATAGTGCACATGGATAGAATAATCCGGAAGAATAAAATGCACATTTATAAAGAAAGAGGGAAAAGTTAACAGAAATATATAATATAATTATTAACATATTTCAAGTATTTCTGTATCCAATCCTCACAACCCTAAAATCAACCCCTTTTTATTTATGAGAAGACTGAGGCTGAGAGAGACCAAGGAGTCTGTTCTAGAGCCCATACATTTAACTAAATGTTCTCATGCCTCTCTATAAGGAAGCTATCAACATATGCTGTGTGTAAATACTGTAGTATTGTGGAGAAGAAATAATATTCATGGACCTAGAATTTACCTGGGAAGTTCTTGTGAAATATTAAACTTTAAGTTGGGTTGTGAAGAATGTATAGGATTTAGATAGAAGGAAGGTGGGCATTTCAGTTAGGAGGAGCATAACCTAGACAGGGGTCCTCAAACTTTTTAAACAGGGGGCCAGTTCACTGTCCCTCAGACCGTTGGAGAGTGTGCACTGCAGCCCAGAACGAGTCGGCTGCTAAGCAGGACAGGCAGTGGTGGCAAAAACACCCAGAGAGCCAGATAAATGTGCTAGGCGGCCTGCATGTGGCCCACGGGCCGTAGTTTGAGGATGCCTGAAGAACATAGTGGGAATGAGAATGAGCATGGCTATGGGGATACAAAGAGAGTTAACCCAATGGAAAGGTCTGTGATCAGAGATTAGTGAAAGTTTCCATATCTGTAACAGACCTGGTTGCTGCAAAGCTCTGAAGGCCACACTAAGGCATTTAGAATTTGTTCACCAGGCATCCGCAGCAACTTCTCTGAAAGGGAATGAGAATAATAATGCAACCATAATAACTAATGCTCCTTGAGCTCTAATTTTGTGTTTGCCATGTGCTAAGTATTTTATATATCTTATTTACTTGAGTCCTAGGAAGTAGGAATTTTTTAGATGAAGAAGCTAAGGCAGAATGTGATTAGGAAATTTGCTGAGGTCCTCACAGCTAGTGCATGTGAAGCTGGGATTTGAACCCAGATCCAGCACATTTATTTATTTATTTAGAAAAAATTTATCACATTTATTTATTTATTTATTTATTTATTTATTTATTTATTTATTTATTTATTTATTTATTTATTTATTTATGGATATTATGGGTGTACAAACATTTTGGTTGCATGTTATGACTTTGCCACATCCAAACCATGATTTGAGGCGTGCCTTTTCCCCCCACCATGCTCTCTGCATCCATTAGTTGTGAGTTTACTTCCCAAACCACCCACTCCCTGAAGAATATTACTACTGTGTGAGTACCATAGTGGTGATCAGTTAGTGTCAATTTGATGGTGACTACATGTAGAGCCTATTCTTCCTTCTTCTGATACCTCGCTCCAGAGAATGGGCTCAAGTTCTATCCAGGAAAATATAAGAGGTACTAGATCCCCGTCATTTCTTATAATTGAGTAATATTTCATTGTATACATATACCAAATTTTATTAATCCATTCATGAATTGATGGCCACTGGATTGTTTCCACATCCTTGCAGTAGTGAATTGTGCTGCCATAAACATTCGGATGTAGATGTCTTTATTATAGAATGTCTTTTGTTTTTTGGATAGATGCCTAATAATGCTATTGCTGGATCAAATGATATTTCTATTTTTAGCTCTTTGAGGTATTTCAAAATTCTTTTCCATAGACACTGCACTAATTTGCAGTCCCATCAGCAGTGTAAGAGTGTTCCTGTCTCTCCACATCCTCGCCAGCATTTGTTATTTTGTGATTTTTTGATAAAGGCCAATCTCACTAGGGTTAGGTGATATCTCATTGTGGTTTTGATTTGCATTTCTCTAATGATTACAGATGTCCAGCATTTTTTTATATGTTTGCTGGCCATTATTGTCTTCTTTTGAAAAGTTTCTGTTCATGTCCTTTGCCCATTTATTGATGGAGTTGTTTGATTTTTTTCTTGTTGATTTTTTTAAGTTCTAGGTAGGTTCTTGTTATCAGCCCTTTAGTGGATGTGTAGAGAGTATATATTTTCTCCCATTATGTAGTCTGTTTATTCACTCTAATGATAGTTTCCTTGGCTGTGCAAGCTTTTCAATTTGATCAGGTCTCATTTATTTATTTTTGTTGCTGCTGTGATTTCTTTGGAGTTCTTCAAAAATTCTTTGCCTAGGCTGATGTCTGAAAGGGTCTTCCCTACATTTTCTTCTAGGATTCTTAGGGTTTCATGCCTTATGTTTTATGTCTGTTATGAATTGATTTTTGTAAGAGGTGAGAGATGGGGATCCAGTTTCAATCTTCTGCATGTAGCTATCCAGATTTCCCAGCACCACTTATTGACAAAAAGAGATTCTTTTCCCTAGTGTATATTTTTGTCTGTTTTGTCAAAGATTAGGTGACAATATGCAGATGGTTTTATCTCTGGATTCTCAGTCCTGTTCCAAAGGTCTATGTCTCTATTTTTGTGCCAGTACCCTGCTCTTTTAGTTACTATAGGCTTGTAGTCCAACTTGAAGTCTGGTAGACTGATACCTCCCAATGTGTTCTCTTTGCTTAAGATTGCTTTGGCTGTACGAGGTCTTCTCTGGTTCCATACAAAGCGTAGAATTATTTTTTCTAGAACTGTAAAGAATGATGATGGTATTTTGATAGGGATTGCGTTAATTATGTAGATCACTTTAGGTAGTATATTTTCAGAGATGATTTCTATAGTTCGTTACTAGAGCCAGCATATTTAAAGCAGTATGTGTCCCATCTATAGCCTTTCTGGAAGGTTTATTTGGCAATAACAAGAAAGATGGTCCTGGCAGCCATGGTGGTGACCAGGGTGGAGATGTTGGCCTGTGGCAGCCAATCTGAGAGACTGCTGTCATATGAACCAGGCAAGGGGAAGGGAGGAGATTGTTGAGAAAAGGAATCAGAAAACTGGTTGCAGGTCTTGCTCAGTCATTAAAGCCTGGTATGGCCCATAGCTAGTCATGTTCCATTCTGGGCCTTATTTCATCTTTGACAAAAAGATATGTTTTAACCAGATGATGGCTATGGTATCAACTTCTAGTGGTAGCATGCTTTGATTCTGTAATTCTATAAAAATGAAGCCTAATTTTCAGCATCTGGGGACTGATATATCCTTAAAAGAAGGAAATAGAAGATAAGTAGCTGGTTTGAGGGAGAGGTGGGACAGGTAATTTTTAAAAAAACTATGCATTGATACTGGGTATATGATAGAACTTTTAAAAAGTGTTTTATAGGCAGTTGGAAATACTTTACTAGAGTTGGGATATGAGGTGAAGGCTAAAAGAAGATGAAGACTCTTTCTCAGCCCAGCCTCCCTTCACTGATTCACATGAGGGCAGCTGCCAACTCCTAGGTCAGTTGACCTTGGATTTTACACCCTAGCCTCCTCCATAGAGAATCTATTCCACCTGCCAAAAATAATGAGAGGATATTACTTAACATCTTACTTATCCAGACATCTATTTGGCATTTTACTTATAATAATTCGCTCACAGGATTCTCATAACAACCCTGTAAGGTAGGTTTTTTAAATCCTAAATTGACTTCTTCTCTCCCCTTGTCGAACTTCCATTCCCATCCTAGCTACCATCATCTCTTGCCTGGGTTACTGCAATAGCCTCCTAACTGGTCTGTCTGCTTCTCTTCTGCTTCTACCACAGTCTGTTCCCAACACAGCATCCAG